ATTCAACCGAAGAATATCCGTTAGCCCTAGTGATATTAAAATTAGAGATTTGGAAATTCATAATCTCTTATAAAAACGGTTACAACTATATTTTTTTCAGTTGTGATTGACTGCGAAGCTAAAAATATGAACTATCCGACCAATCAGCGCGCGCTTGACGGCAGGGGGCAGAGTCTACGCCTGTCGTAAGGACTTATCCCCTCTCCAGCGATGCTTGAAGACGGTCTGCCTAGGTGCTCGACGCCTATTCGGAGGTCGATGTACCAACCAAGACCTAACTGTAGCAGCGCTAGTGATAACGAGGGTTATTCTAGGTTCCGCTGCAGGTTGGACTTGGGAGGCGTGGCCCCAAGGCTTCGGGGTTCACCATGCGCATTATATTGTCATTATAGATTTGAAAATTCATAATCTCTTGAAAATCGCTTTTTTTCAGAGCCACTGATTTATATTCAACCGAAGAATATCCGTTAGCCCTAGTGATATTGAAATTAGAGATTTGGAAATTCATAATATCTTATAAAAACGGTTACAACTATATTGTTTTAAGTTGTGATTGAATGCGAAGCTAAAAATATGAACTAGCCGACCAATCAGCGCGCGCTTGACGGCAGGGGGCAGAGTCTACGCCTGTCGTAAGGACTTATCCCCTCTCCAGGTAAGAACCGGTCAATATAAATAGAGGCCGCCATCATTTCATGAGCAGTCAGACTTTAGTTCGAAGATGGATCTGATGGTGAATGAAGCGATGCTTGAAGACGGTCTGCCTAGGTGCTCGACGCCTATTCGGAGGTCGATGTACCAACCAAGACCTAACTGTAGCAGCGCTAGTGATAACGAGGGTTATTCTAGGTTCCGCTGCAGGTTGGACTTGGGAGGCGTGGCTCCAAGGCTTCGGGGGTCACCATGCGCAATTCCAGGGGTGCTCTCTGGACTCATCAGGAAGTAAATGTCCTGAAAAAAAAAACGGTTCTTTTCAGAGCCACTAATTTATCTGCAATGAAAAAAGATTATCTGTTAGCCCTAATTATATTGTCATTATAGATTTGAAAATTCATAATCTCTTGAAAATCGCTTTTTTTCAGAGCCACTGATTTATATTCAACCGAAGAATATCCGTTAGCCCTAGTGATATTAAAATTAGAGATTTGGAAATTCATAATCTCTTATAAAAACGGTTACAACTATATTTTTTTCAGTTGTGATTGACTGCGAAGCTAAAAATATGAACTAGCCGACCAATCAGCGCGCGCTTGACGGCAGGGGGCAGAGTCTACGCCTGTCGTAAGGACTTAATTCCTCTCCAGGTAAGAACCGGTCAATATAAATAGAGGCCGCCGTCATTTCATGAGCAGTCAGACTTTAGTTCGAAGATGGATCTGATGGTGAATGAAGCGATGCTTGAAGACGGTCTGCCTAGGTGCTCGACGCCTATTCGGAGGTCGATGTACCAACCAAGACCTAACTGTAGCAGCGCTAGTGGTAACGAGGGTTATTCTAGGTTCCGCTGCAGGTTGGACTTGGGAGGCGTGGCTCCAAGGCTTCGGGGGTCACCATGCGCAATTCCAGGGGTGCTCTCTGGACTCATCAGGAAGTAAATGTCCTGAAAAAAAAACGGTTCTTTTCAGAGCCACTAATTTATCTGCAATGAAAAAAGATTATCTGTTAGCCCTAATTATATTGTCATTATAGATTTGAAAATTCATAATCTCTTGAAAATCGCCTTTTTTCAGAGCCACTGATTTATATTCAATCAATCAGTTAGCCCTAGTGATATTGAAATTAGAGATTTGGAAATTCATAATCTCTTAAAAAAACGGTTACAACTATATTGTTTTCAGTTGTGATTGACTGCGAAGCTAAAAATATGAACTAGCCGACCAATCAGCGCGCGCTTGACGGCAGGGGGCAGAGTCTACGCCTGTCGTAAGGACTTATCCCCTCTCCAGGTAAGAACCGGTCAATATAAATAGAGGCCGCCGTCATTTTATGAGCAGTCACACTTTAGTTCGAAGATGGATCTGATGATGAATGAAGCGATGCTTCAAGACGGTCTGCCTAGGTGCTCGACGCCTATTCGGAGGTCGATGTACCAACCAAGACCTAACTGTAGCAGCGCTAGTGATAACGAGGGTTATTCTGGGTTCCGCTGCAGGTTGGACTTGGGAGGCGTGGCTCCAAGGCTTCGGGGGTCACCATGCGCAATTCCAGGGGTGCTCTCTGGACTCATCAGGAAGTAAATGTCCTGAAAAAAAAAACGGTTCTTTTCAGAGCCACTAATTTATCTGCAATGAAAAAAGATTATCTGTTAGCCCTAATTATATTGTCATTATAGATTTGAAAATGCATAATCTCTTGAAAATCGCTTTTTTTCAGAGCCACTGATTTATATTCAACCGAAGAATATCCGTTAGCCCTAGTGATATTGAAATTAGAGATTTGGAAATTCATAATATCTTATAAAAACGGTTACAACTATATTGTTTTCAGTTGTGATTGACTGCGAAGCTAAAAATATGAACTAGCCGACCAATGAGCGCGCGCTTGACGGCAGGGGGCAGAGTCTACGCCTGTCGTAAGGACTTAATTCCTCTCCAGGTAAGAACCGGTCAATATAAATAGAGGCCGCCGTCATTTCATGAGCAGTCAGACTTTAGTTCGAAGATGGATCTGATGGTGAATGAAGCGATGCTTGAAGACGGTCTGCCTAGGTGCTCGACGCCTATTCGGAGGTCGATGTACCAACCAAGACCTAACTGTAGCAGCGCTAGTGGTAACGAGGGTTATTCTAGGTTCCGCTGCAGGTTGGACTTGGGAGGCGTGGCTCCAAGGCTTCGGGGGTCACCATGCGCAATTCCAGGGGTGCTCTCTGGACTCATCAGGAAGTAAATGTCCTGAAAAAAAAACGGTTCTTTTCAGAGCCACTAATTTATCTGCAATGAAAAAAGATTATCTGTTAGCCCTAATTATATTGTCATTATAGATTTGAAAATTCATAATCTCTTGAAAATCGCCTTTTTTCAGAGCCACTGATTTATATTCAATCAATCAGTTAGCCCTAGTGATATTGAAATTAGAGATTTGGAAATTCATAATCTCTTAAAAAAACGGTTACAACTATATTGTTTTCAGTTGTGATTGACTGCGAAGCTAAAAATATGAACTAGCCGACCAATCAGCGCGCGCTTGACGGCAGGGGGTAGAGTCTACGCCTGTCGTAAGGACTTATCCCCTCTCCAGGTAAGAACCGGTCAATATAAATAGAGGCCGCCGTCATTTCATGAGCAGTCAGACTTTAGTTCGAAGATGGATCTGATGATGAATGAAGCGATGCTTCAAGACGGTCTGCCTAGGTGCTCGACGCCTATTCGGAGGTCGATGTACCAACCAAGACCTAACTGTAGCAGCGCTAGTGATAACGAGGGTTATTCTAGGTTCCGCTGCAGGTTGGACTTGGGAGGCGTGGCCCCAAGGCTTCGGGGTTCACCATGCGCATTATATTGTCATTATAGATTTGAAAATTCATAATCTCTTGAAAATCGCTTTTTTTCAGAGCCACTGATTTATATTCAACCGAAGAATATCCGTTAGCCCTAGTGATATTGAAATTAGAGATTTGGAAATTCATAATATCTTATAAAAACGGTTACAACTATATTGTTTTCAGTTGTGATTGAATGCGAAGCTAAAAATATGAACTAGCCGACCAATCAGCGCGCGCTTGACGGCAGGGGGCAGAGTCTACGCCTGTCGTAAGGACTTATCCCCTCTCCAGGTAAGAACCGGTCAATATAGATAGAGGCCGCCGTCATTTCATGAGCAGTCAGTCTTTAGTTCGAAGATGGATCTGATGGTGAATGAAGCGATGCTTGAAGACGGTCTGCCTAGGTGCTCGACGCCTATTCGGAGGTCGATGTACCAACCAAGACCTAACTGTAGCAGCGCTAGTGATAACGAGGGTTATTCTAGGTTCCGCTGCAGGTTGGACTTGGGAGGCGTGGCTCCAAGGCTTCGGGGGTCACCATGCGCAATTCCAGGGGTGCTCTCTGGACTCATCAGGAGGTAAATGTCCTGAAAAAAAAACGGTTCTTTTCAGAGCCACTAATTTATCTGCAATGAAAAAAGATTATCTGTTAGCCCTAATGATATTGTCATTATAGATTTGAAACTTCATAATCTCTTGAAAAACGCTTTTTTTCAGAGCCACTGATTTATGTTCAACGGAAGAATATCCGTTAGCCCTAGTGATATTAAAATTAGAGATTTGGAAATTCATAATCTCTTATAAAAACGGTTACAACTATATTTTTTTCAGTTGTGATTGACTGCGAAGCTAAAAATATGAACTAGCCGACCAATCAGCGCGCGCTTGACGGCAGGGGGCAGAGTCTACGCCTGTCGTAAGGACTTATCCCCTCTCCAGGTAAGAACCGGTCAATATAAATAGAGGCCGCCGTCATTTCATGAGCATCAGTTCCGAGCTAGCAGCCGTCACGAGCATACACTCGTGCGACTGCGACCCACCCGGACATACAGTGCGATCCTACTGTGATTTTCATCGCGGTACGATCGCCATCCACGATGGCGAAAGTAGAGAAGCTGGCGAGCCAGCTGAAGCAGAAAGAAGAGAATTTTGCAATGCTTGCTGAGCAGATGAAAAATCTGCAAGAAGCATTTGAGCGGGCGAGGGATGAAATCGATGAGGTGAAAAGGAAGCTCCTCAAAGCAAAGAGGAAAGCTAAGAAGACGGAGGAAGAAGAAGAAGAAGAGGACCACGGAGAGGAGGACCAGCAGCCTACGGAGAACTTGGACATGGATGCCCAAAATATCGACGTAGAAGAAGCGGAGAAGAGGACGGACGACACCGATTTCAGTGTCGCCACCAGACGGAGGAAGCGGGTGCGAGTTTCCTCCTCCGAAGAAGAAGAAGAACCCAGGCAGCGAAAGATGCCAGCTGCCACAAGAAGAGTGGTCCTAGAGCAACCAGGACCACCGAGGCCCCCATGGCAGGAACAGGAGTTCCGCCAATCAACATCGAGGGCACCGCTGATTGGTCATCCTTGAGTAGGATGATGAACAGCAAGGGGATTCAATTCTCCAAAGCGAGGACGGCGGGTACCAGTGTGAAGGTATTCACAAATACACCAGCTGACTACCGTCAGCTAGTCGCACTGCTTGAATCCATCAAGCGGCCCTTCTTCACATATCAACTGAAGGAGGACAGGATGGACCAGAGGGTCATTCGTGGGCTTCCGAGAGAGATGTCAGTCAATGACATCAAAGAGGATCTGGTGAGCCAAGGCATCGCAGACGCCGTGGTTCAGCAGCTGACCTCAAGGACCACAAAGAAGCCACTTCCGCTCTTCCTCGTCAAGACGAAGATGCCGGAAAAGCTTGCAGAGATCCAGAGGCTGGCCATGCTCACGGTCAGCTTCGAGAGGAAGAAAAAGTCTTCCGAGCCCAGCCAGTGCTACCGCTGCCAGCGGTACGGGCACACACAGCGGAACTGCCGTCTCGCTGAACGGTGCGTTAAGTGTGGAGAGGACCACAACAGCACCAGCTGCAGTCTGCCAGCGCCGCCAACAGGGCAACGGAACGCCAAGTGCTGCCTCTGTGGAGAAGGCCACCCCGCCAACTACAAGGGATGTAGTAAGGCGCCGAAGAAAGCTGCTTCTGCCCCCAAAGCAGTCCCCACCACAAATAGGACTTCTTACGCCCAAAAAGTGAAGAAGCCTATGTCCACTTCTGCCCCAGCAGCCGCCACTGCTACTGGAACTACTGCGCAGAAGCAACACGGCGATGACAGACTGCTAGCAATGATGCAAGCCATCATAACCCGCCTGGATGCACTCGAGGCCAAGATGCAAGACAAGCACTAGACCCGAAATGTCTACAGGTCAAAACGTAGAATCTCTACGCATTATCTCCTGGAACATCAACGGTTTCAGGGCACGGAAACCAGAAATCCAGGAGATACTAGACCAGTACCAACCAGAGGTGATGGCCATCCAAGAAACGAAGTTGGATGCTGCCCATAGTCTGACGTTCCCGCGGTACGAGACGTACCGCTACGACAGAAGGGGCAGAGGTGGAGGAGTCGCATTACTCGTCAAACGTACCTTGACGAGTCATGTCCTCGACGATGCCGCAGACATAAATGGGGACGGAATCACGGTCCAGGTCCATCACAACCACCGTCCCTACAGAATCACCTCCCTATATGTGCCACCAGGGGAGGCCCTAGACGAAGATGACATCGCGGACCTCCTGAGAGGCCCAGGAGCACGCATAGTCATCGGAGATCTAAACTGCTTGGAACAACAACGTCGAAGACAGGAATGCAAGGCAGCTCCAGGAAAACGTCGATGCCCTGGCGGGGGTCATCGTCGGTCTGGAGCAACCAACCTACATTCCATTCGGCCTTGGGCGACCTGCGGTACTGGACATAGCCATCCTCCGCAACATCAGAGAGGAGTTCGAGATAGAGACCCTGGTGGAAGGATCGTCGGACCACAATCCGATTCTACTAACACTTGGTACAGGGTCTAGAACTCGAGATAGCTTGAGCACCAAACGGACGAACTGGAACCTTTACAAATCCAACGTCCAGAGGAACATCACTCAAATTCCAACCATCCGATCAGCGGAGGAACTGGACAACGCAGTAGAGGAGCTGGAGAATGCTGTCCTGCGAGCGCACGAGGACAGCACCCGCTCCGAGACTACGGCAGTTCCTAGATACCTAAATGGTCCAGCACCGCACCATATTAGGCACCTGATCAGGGAGAACAGAAGACTCAAGCGAGAACATCTCCAGCTGTTGACAGAGGAGTCGAGAGTTGCGCGAAACAGAGCATCGTTAGCTCTGAAGAACGCACTCGCGGAACTCCAAAACAACAGATGGAATGCAGCCTGTGCAGAACTAGAGACCCAGGATGGTACGGCCTGGTCTATGCAGCGAAAATTTCGTCGTCAGCGCACCACGATCCCCACTCTTCACGGCCAACGCGGCTTGGCCTACTCCAGTGAAGAAAAAGCCGAAGCATTCGCCGATTCGCTAGAATCCGAATGCAGACTCAATTACCATGAAGACGAGGACGACAACCACGAGGAGGCCGTGGAAGTCGCAGCCGAAAACATGAGGAGTCGACCACCTGGCCAGGAGACGGATCACCCCTCCAGTCCAGAGGAAATCCGTCTGATCATCCGCAGGTTGAAGGTCAGAAAGGCGCCGGGAAGGGACGGCATCAACAATAGGATGCTGAAGAACCTTCCCACCAAAGGCATTGCTGCGCTCACCAACATCGCCAATGCCACTCTGAGACTTAACCACTTCCCGCGGCGGTGGCGGGAAGCCCAGGTTATAATGCTCACCAAGCCAGGCAAGGACCGGAAGTTGCCCCAGAACTACCGGCCCATCAGCCTGGTTTCCTCGGTGGGCAAAGTAGTCGAAAAGGCTATCGCCGTTCGACTAGAGAAGCAGGCAGAAGAACTGTAACTTCTCCCCCCAGAGCAATTCGGCTTCAGATCCTCCCACAACACGGAACTCCAAGCGCTACGACTGACGGAAAACATCACCAGCGGCTTCAATCTCCAGGAGGCAACCGGTCTCGTCCTGCTGGACGTGGAACGAGCCTTCGACCGAGTTTGGCACGATGGACTCATCGCCAAAATGGAAGCCGCCGGAATCGATGCGAACATGTGCCAACTGATCCAGAGCTATCTAACACAAAGATGGTTCACGGTGAAGATTGGTACATGCCATTCAACAAGACGTCAGCTGGAAGCAGGCGTGCCCAGGGGTCAGCCTTAGCCCCCCTGCTCTACAACATCTATACTTACGATGTGCCGAAGACAGCTGACACAATGCTGGCCCTATATGCAGACGACACTGCTATAGCCGCCAAGCATAGACGACCCGAGATCATCCGTAGGAGACTACAGGGTGAACTGGACCAAATTCAGGACTGGTGCGTGAAATGGAAAATCCGCATCAACGTCCAGAAGACGCAGGCAATCTTCATTCAACGAAGAAGGATTGCAAGACCTCTCGAAGCATCCATCTTCGATGAAGATATCCAGTGGAGCGACAATGTCAAATATCTGGGGATCGTTTTTGACAAGTCCCTCACCTGGAAAGCGCACATAGAAGCTGTCATCGCAAAAACCAGAGCAGCCATGGCTCAACTCTATCCATTACTGGGTAGACACAGCCAGATGCCGCTAGCGACCAAGCTACGGCTGATCAAGGCCATCGCCAGACCTCAGCTCGCTTACGCCTCCGCGGTCTGGGGGTACGCTGCCCCCAGCTACCGCAAGCGACTTGCTGCTCTAGAGATGAAGCTACTCCGGATCGCCACCAATGCACCTTCCTACGTAAGGAACTCAACCTTGCGTAGAGACCTCCATTGGGATACCATAACGAGTACATGAGGAAAAAAGCGGAGAAGACCTTCGAGAAAGCTCAGGACCACCCGAACGAGCAGCTACGATTCCTCATGGACTACGATCCGGACGAGAGGCCTCGCAACCGCAGAACCAGGTACCCCAGACCAAGGTCCCAGTTGGCACCCGCTAACTGGAACCTTGACTAGGAGACTAGGAGAATTTGCGGCTGCCCCCCCCCCCCACGGCGTGGATGCAGAGGACCAGGAACCACCGGGACCAGGACCCACCGGGACCAGGACCAACCAGGACCAGGACCCGCCACGACCAGGACCCACCAGGACCAGGACCAGGAACAACATATTGGTAAGATGACTTGAAACTCTTGATTTTTCGAAAACAAGAGTTTCAAGAGAAACTAGCAGACCCTCTATCGATGATCGCTTAACGACATCGATAGAATGTGCGAGGTAAAGGGAACCAACCCGGCGTTCCCAGAGACTGAAACACATGAGGCGACGTTGTAGCAGACCGCAGGTCACGCACAACACATGGCCTACCGAGACGCTGATGAGTCGGGCCACGCGGAGGTTTAGGGTTTAGTGGGTATTAGGTGATCTCTTCAAGACCCTGGAGCCCCACACACGTCGTAGCTCGTGCTATGGTATGGTGCGTAAATGCATTCCCCCCTCGTTAAAAAAAAAAAAAAAAAAAATCATGAGCAGCCCCGACTCAGCAGCCAACCACCGAGGATAGCAGACGAGACCAGTGAGACCGCAAGCGACAAGGCGACACCGAAGCGACGACGCGACAAAGCGACCGAGCAGCGACGACGCGACAGCGACGCGACGACGCGACCAACGCGCGGAAACGCGAGAAAACGCGGAAACGCGAGTGAGACACCCACTCGATAAGGCAAAGCCTAAATCGGGTGGACGAAGAAACATTACACAATTCCCATCTCGTTGGGAATTGTGTAAAAGCGCGACTTTGCGAAACAGACGCACCAAAGTGGGCCGACAAACCCACAGTGAAGTGTAGTGAAGTGCAAAGACACTAGTGAGTGAGTGGTACACAATTCTCAGAGTGCGGCGACAACTGAGAATTGTGTGAAAGTGGGCCGACGAAGCCACAGCCGGAGTGCAGTGAGCCGAGAAGGCACCAGTGCGCGAGTGATACACGTTCTCAGAGTGCGGCGACTGAGAATCGTGCAGAAGTGAGCCGAGAAGGCACCAGTGCGAGAGTGATACACAATTTCCAGAGTGCGGTCACAACTGGAAATTGTGTAAAAGTGCAGTGAAGTGAATCGAACTCGGAAGAGTCGATGGTGGTGATCGAGCGCGACACCATAGATAAGGTGACCAAGATGCTGGACGACGAAAACACGTATTCCTCGTCCAGCGAAGAGGAGGAAGAGGTCCAGGAAGAGGAACCTCGACCAAACAGGATGGAAGAGGAAAACCGCGAGCTCAAGAGGCAGATAGCGGAACTATCCTGCCAGCTAGCGGACCTGACGCGTCAGCTACTGGAGGAGAGAAGGATAAGCGCCGAAGAGCGCGAGAAGACGGCCAAGCTCATCGAGCTTATGGCCGCAAGACAAGGGATTGAGATAGACGATCCCAAAAGAAGACTAAGAGGAAGGCCGATAAGACCGAGGAGGTTGACGAGAAACCAGCCTCCAAGAAAGCGGCAGTGGACCCCTTCCCCCCGCTCCCAAAGAAGAAGACAGTGGAGGAGAAGACCACCCCACCCCCCCGTCAACCACCGAAGACAGGATGGATACCGAGCAGGCCCAGCCAGCTCCCAAGCCTAAAACAAGAAGGCCGCCACCCCTATATATACATAGGGAAGACCAGTGGCAAACCATGAAGAAGGGAAAGAAGATCCCAGCCGACAAGCCGGCAAAACTCACCAGGACGGGCATAAAGGTCCAACTGACGACTGAGGATGAATTCCGAAGCGTAAGGAAGACGCTCGAGGAGAACAAGGTGGAACACCACACCTACTCCCTGCCAGACGAGAAATCCCTGTCAGTTATCATCAGGGGCATGCCACTGATGACGGGGGAAGACGAAGTTAAAGAGGACCTGGAATCTAAAGGATTCCACCCAAGAAGAGTAAACAGACTCACCAGCAGGCGAACCAGGAAGAAGATCCCGCTGGTCAAGGTGGATCTTCCAAAGGAAGAAAAGAGGATTTACGATCTGACAGAATGCTGTCAGATGATAGTAAAAATCGAGGCACAGAAGAAGAGAGAAGGACCGAGGCCAGTGCTACAGGTGCCAGCAGTTCGGGCACAGCCAGCAGAACTGCTCCGGGGCACCGAAGTGCGTGAGATGTGCAGGGGCACATCGCGCATCGGAGTGCAAAGTGCCACAAGAAAGAGCGGCAACCTGCGCCAACTGTGGTGGGAGCCACCCAGCAAACTACGGGGGATGCCCAAGACGCCCAAGCTCAAAACCAAAGAGCAAACCCGCCGCGGAGAAGAGAAGAA